GATCTTTTACCTCAAACTTTACCCTCTATTATGAGTAGAAGTAATTCGTATTTTTTCCCTTCAACACATGACCCAAGTTTGAATTTCTCTCCTTTCGAGGCCGTTTAAGAGTTTCTTTTGTTTGCTCCCATTTCAAAAGTGTGTGTTTTTCAAAAATTTTCAATTTAGTGTACATTTCAAAAGCCTTTTATTTTTTTTTGGTTTGTGAGTTTATTACCCAGCTTTCGAACTTTCGAAGCCTTATGCTAACGACTGATATTGTAAACATATGTTTTCATGATCATAAGGGTTTTTTGCTATGTTTGCTATTAAGATCGTATCATCTTCGTGCCTGATGTAATTTTTAACATTATTTTCAATTCCCATGCATGATAATGAGGATGCAAATTTGTGCGAAATTTTTGAGGAACTGCTGGCAATTCAATTTTATATATATATATATATTTATTATTTATTTATAGTGGTCTGCTGGAAGGCCAGACGTGAACCCTATTGACCATTTACGGGATAAAATAAGGTGCAGCGTACGGACTAGCAACAGCCTTCAAGCGACTCAACAGGAAATTGCTGGAAAAAGGCTGTTACATTAACAGAAGAATGGGTTAACAAACCACAACAAAGAAAAATAAATTCAATTTCGAGTACGCCACGCAGGCTGGAAGCTGGTAGAGCAGCTACAGGCGGAAATTCCTTTCCTTTATCGTGCTGCTATGTTGCGTTTGCTATTTTTTAGCTTTCCAAGAAACGAATTAAAAACACAGCGACGTTAGTAATTATGCAGCAATTTAGTTCAGTTTTAAGCTCAAACAAGACTGAAAACGATAAATTTCCACAAAATGAAACAGCTTCAGGGCGTTCGAAGAAAGGATAGTTTCTGCTTTCTTTGGCAAGGCAAATGAAGAATCTAAATTTCTTCTTCACCTTTAATCTATTAAAACGGGTCTTCTGGTATAAAAGTTAGAAGACTTTAGTTGGCCAATAAAATCAGGTGCGTCACTGTTATGAGAACTGAGAGTAATAGGAAAGTTGCGCCAAAGTTCGTAGTAGCAAATGTATAAATTGCCCGTTCAGAGATTTAAAAATAATGCTAAAAGGTAAATGAAGGCAAGTCCCCATTCAGCTCCCAAACGACAATGCTAAATTCGAATCACCCTGTAACCAGATCAGGAATTTTCCGGAAATTGTATACAAGTTGTGTCTAGCTCAAAAAGGTTGTGGCAATGAACGATCCGATATTTATAGTATCTGGAAATGATATCTATTTACACCAACAATGAGAATGGGCAAGGTGACAAAAATTCCCATTTTCTATATTTATAAGCATCTACATCCGAACGCGAAGTTTAATAAGTACACCAGTTTCTTGCTCCTCAAGGGCCCAAAGTAGGCAAAGGGTTAAAAACAATTAACGCAGAAAAACGGTGGCAGGCCATTGATGTGAGACAAAAACCCGCTTATTGCATAGGTTGCATTTATTGCATTCAAATGCACTTTCATTCACTGTTCCATACAAATCCACTAAACTCTACCTTCGCTCTATCCATGACAACTTTGAAGGTTCGCAGCAGCAGAGACAAGAATCGATGATCTTGAGATGAACAGTTCAAAAAATGACACCCCGCAGTCTGGATTTGTAGCCGACGCAATCCAGAAACAATAAACAGCACTGGAAAAACAGGTCGGACATCGTGGCTTCGAACAAATCGCTCAGCAGTGACACGCACCCAATGGGGGATTAGAAATTACTGAAGTTCATTTTCCTGCTGCCGCAAATGGATCCAGCGCCGGCAGCGGAAACTCCTGCAACTGGTGCGCGATCCTGAAACAACCGGGATACAGACCGCTGACTTATCTTTCCTGCGAACAATCTATTCCTGCAGAGGGAGATGCATTGGGCTCTGCCAAGCGCTCGATATGCAAAGTTTATCAATGGAGCATTATAAGCGAGATGGAAAATATTGCGCTCTATTGTTGTGAAAGATTGGTCCAAACTTCACTAATTTTATTTATCCAAGTTGTCTGGTTTCGAATGCGACGTTCCACTTGCTCTCAAATACTTTCAATAGAGTTTAGATCGGGAGATTGTGCAGGCCACTCCGACACTCCTTATATCCATTGCTTGCGTGACGAATCGGTTAGAAAAAAACGACAATTAAATATTTCCCGACGGATTTCAGATCTGGAAATTCGTCGGGCATCTTCTACATAGAAAATGAATTTACTCACGTAGTTATAAAAAATAATCAATTATTGTAGGAACTTTTGAGTGAGCAGCAACATCGAGAACCATTGAAAGGAAAAACCGAAAATTAAATATGTCCGATGGATTTCGGAACTGGAAATTCGTCGGACGTTTAGCATTTTCATCTTCTACATAGAAAATTTATTTAGTCACGTTGTTGTAAAAAATAGTAAATTATTGTAAGAGCTTTTGCGTGAGCAGCAACATCGGGAACTATTGAAAGAAAAAACCAAAAATTAAATATTTTCCGACGGATTTCGGAACTGGAAAAATGTCGGGCGATTATCATCGGCATCTTCTACATAGAAAATTAATTTAGTCACGTTGTTATAAGAAAATAGTAAATTATTGTAAGAACTTTTGACTGAGCAGCAACATCGGGAACCATTGAACGAAAAAACCGAAAATTAAATATTTTCCGATGGGTTTCGGAAGTAGAAATTTGTCGGGCGATTAGCATCGGCATCTTCTACATAGAAAATTAATTTAGTCACGTTGTTATAAGAAAATAGTAAATTATTGTAAGAACTTTTGAGTGAGCAGCAACATCGGAAACCATTGAACGAAAAAACCGAAAATTAAATATTTTCCGATGGGTTTCGGAAGTAGAAATTTGTCGGGCGATTAGCATCGGCATCTTCTACATAGAAAATTAATTTAGTCACGTTGTTATTAGAAAATAGTAAATTATTGTAGGAACTTTTGAGTGAGCAGCAACACCGGGAACCATTGAAAGAAAAAACCGAAAATTAAATATTTTCCGATGGGTTTCGGAAGTAGAAATTTGTCGGGCGATTAGCATCGGCATCTTCTACATAGAAAATTAATTTAATCACGTTATAGAAAAATTAKTCAATTATTTTAAGAACTTTTGAGTGAGCAGCAACATCGGGAACCATTGAAAAAAAAAATAAAAATTTATTATTTCCCGACGGATTTCGGAACTGAAAATTTGTCGGGCGATTAACATCGGTATCTTCTACATAGACAAATAATTTAGTCACGTTATTATAAAAAAAATAGTCAATTATTGTAGGAACTTTTGAGTTGAGTGAGGAGCAACATCGGAAACGATTGACAGAAAAAACCGAAAATTAAAGATTTCCCGATGGATTTCGGAACTGTATTTTTACCATCGATGTTGGAAATTTGGGACATCGAACTTTTCAAATTTTCACCATTTTATGAACACTTGAATCTACAGGTACTGAAAGTTTCATAAAAATTTCGTCCGGCTTGATAAATTTACGCCGCTTTGAAAATTAGTGAAAAGTGCGCTCTGTCTTTAAAACATTCAGATCTTCCAAACTATGCCAAGGAATCATTTGAAACTTTCGCAGTCTTTTGAATGCATTTGAGTCTATGGATACCGGAAGTTTCATAAAAATTTCCCTAAATTCTGATGTTTTCCTGCTTAGTGAATATCGGTCTGAAGAAAACTCTTTTACCCAACTGCCTCTCTCCTAAAAAAATTCGCATGTTCCAAATAACACTAACTAGAAATTTTACATTTTTATAATTTTCTGAAGACACTTGAGTCTATAGATGCTGAAAGTTTCATAAAAATTTGCGGAAATCCTGATTTTTAACGGCTTGACAAATTTACGTCGCTTTGAAAATTAGTAAAAAGTGCCCTCTGTCTTTCAAAAATTCAGATCTTCCAAAGTACGCAAGGAGTCATTTGAAATTTTCACCGTCTTTTGGATGCATGTGACTCGATGGATACCGAAAGGTTCATGAAAATTGTCCCAAATCCTAATGTTTTCCAGCTTAGTCAATATCGGTCTTAAAATGAACTCCTTAACCCCACTGGCTCTATCCTAAAAAAAATTACATCTTCCAAATTACACTAAATAGAAATTTGACATTTTCATCATTTTCTGAGAACACTTGAGTCTATAGATGATCAAAATTTCATAAAAATTGCCGGGAATCCTCATTTTTACCGGCTTGATAAATTTTCGTCGCTTTGAAAATGAGTGAAAAGTGCTCTCTGTCTTTCAAAAATTCAGATCTTCCATACTACGCCAAGGAGCCATTTGAAATTTTCACCGTCTTTTGCATGCATTTGACTCTATGGATACGGGAAGTTTCATAAAAATTTTCCTAAATTCTGATGTTTTCCCGCTTAGTGAATATCAGTCAAAAAAAAACTATTTTACCCTCTAAGATTGAAAAACAAATCTAAACATGTGTTCGGTTGAAGTCAATGGCGCACCACAAAAAAATTGGGGGGTAAAAGGGGTATGCCTCTAGAAAAAAAAACTTTTTTCAAACAGATTTTCACAACCAGTTGGCTTACCTGCGGGTAAAGGGTCTAAACATTAGAGTAAAATATCTCATAAACTGTAGGAGTTAAAGAGAAAATACCAATCATTTTTTAAAACTTTAACTCCCTGTATCTCGTTAACCATGAGCTTGAAAAAAAACTTAAATGAAAACTAGATTTTTTGAGATCCTCTACACGCGCCTGCTCTGTGTTCATAAGGTTGTGAATCACCCTGTATACTTTGGTTGAGAAGGCTATTAAATACCTTGAACGTTAAATATAAAAGTGCTCGGTATATGATATACCCTTATTTTCCAATAGCTGCATTTTTTCCAATGGGAAACGTAATTAAGACTAGGCCAAAATAAGAACCAGAATTACGTCTTATTGAAGGCCCGCACAAACCAAAAAATATCTAAAGCAATCTAACAGAAAGAACAAGGAATTGGTGCCTGGGAAAGTACGGTAGTTGAACATCAAATAAAGACATTTTAACAACATCCATTTTCAACTTTATTGCTTAGTATAATAAAATATCTATTGTTTAAAATGCCATTTAAATGTATAAAAAATTAATAAGCAACATGTTCCCAATCGTTTAAGTACCAACTGCTAGTCAAACATTTGACTACAGGCCCCAATAAACACCCATTTTAAAGCAAACAAACACCCAACCGTCGCCGTTAAACTTGCACACTTAACCAAGCATTTTGCGCACCATGTAGTTCAAAATTCCACCGTTTCTGTAGAATAGCAGATCCACTTCTGTGTCGAATCGCAATACAACATCGAATGACAAACCGACGTTGGTGGTGATCTGGAAGACAATCATTCAGAGTAAGCGTGAGTATCACGGTGATTTAACACAGTTTTACCTGAATGTGTTGGCCGGGCTTCAAATCGGCAGGCAAATTAATGTCGTAGGTCTCTTTTCCGGTAAGTCCAAGAGTGTCGGCGTTCTCTCCATCCAAAAATTGCAATGGAATAAGCCCCATTCCCACCAGGTTGGAGCGATGAATGCGTTCAAAGGATTCTGCGATCACAGCTTTGACTCCCTAAGCATAATAGCAATTTGAAAATTTATTACTATACAGACACAATTTTTAGGCAGATTCCTGTGGAAAAATAATACGATTTAGCACAACTCAACTTCAGCATTCACAACAGCATTCGAAGAAAAGTCAACGGGAAGAGGAATTATATCAACCTGGCTTTTTTCTTCGTGAAAAGAAAATGGAAATTTTGATTATCTACAAAATGATTTGCTTGATTATTTGGCTCTAAACATTCTTCCGTCCAACAGTTCCTATCCGTTTCGGATGATGGCTATCATACATGCTATTCTGACTCAATTCACTGCTGCTCGAAACAGTTCCGTAGTATTCAAACCAAACCAGGATCTGAGGTTCTTCAACCATCAAATTCTTCTTCTACCAACACCTCTTTTCCCTGCAAGATGGTTCGTAGTAAATGGAACTTATCATTTCTCATGATGTGTCCTAAGTATTGGAGTTTTCGGATTTTCCCAGTATTCACTACCTCCTTTTCTTTGGCTATCCTTCTGAGAACTTCGCTGTTTGTCACATGATCCTTCCAAGATATTTTTAATATTCTGCGAAACCCGTTGCGAACCGTAAAAAAGAACAGAAAACACATAGCAGCGAAGAAGTCTTATTTTGGTGTTCAATAAGATATGATGACTTGTAAATAGGTTTCTCATTTTGTTAAAGGTAGACCTTGCCTTTTCAATCCGAACTCGAATTTCTTGAGAGTGATCCCATTGATCATTAACGTTGGTTCCTGATTTACTGTAAGTTGGCAGTTGTTTACTTTTCCTTTGCTTATAACCATAAATCTCGTCTTATTTATATTCATATCTAGTCCGTACAGTTGGCTCCTTTGATTTTGTCCGTGAGTTCTTGTAGTCCTTCTAGACTGTCTGTGAAGATGACCGTGTCGTCCGCATATCGAATATTGTTTATGATGTCTCCGTTCGAAAGGATTCCGGTTGCAATATACTCTAAAGCTTCTTTAAAAATGCATTCCGAATAGATATTGAATAGCAAAGGTGAGAGAATACAACCTGGTCTTATGCCTCTTATATTTATATTTTGCCTTAATATTTTAGTTTCTTCTGTAGTAACACTTCACTGAAATAACTCGCCATTTTCGAGCACGGACTGATCATTTTGTGAAATTCAGCGAAGATGAATTCCGAGATCGTTTTCGTTTAACCAAAAACGTTGTTCACTACTTAGAAGAGCTACTTAAAGATCAAATTCAGCCAGTGACACAGAGAAACCATAGTTTATCTGTTTTTTCCAAATGTATTGGGCTGCATTGATGGATCTCACGTTCCAATACAATCACCAGGAGGAAGCAATGCAGAACTATATAGAAATAGAAAGGGATATTTTTCTGTCAATGTACAGGTCATTTGTGATGCAAAATTATGTATATTAAGTAGTGTTTAAAAATTCGTATTTACTAGGTGACAGTGCTTATCCCTGCACGGATTATTTATTAACTCCCCTCTTAAATCCTGTTACCACAAGAAATTTAATACAACGCTGCACATCTAGCAACTAAAAATACGGTTGAACGAACGTTTGGTGTCTGGAAGAGACGGGTTTAATGTCTTGCAAGGGATTTGAGAACTGACATTACCGATATTAGTAGCTACTGCAGTGCTTCACAACATAGCCATTAGGAGGAATGATGTTGAAGACTTTGAAGAAATAAACTGCAACGCGGAAGTAAAT